GGAAGATTGAGATAGTGATGAGGAAAGAACCACTTCCCAATACACATATGTACATTCAGGGAAAATACGAATAAATACGAAGAGTAACACATAATAAAAACAATTGAGTGACACATGTGTGTGAAGATCATTGAAAGAAACAGTCAGAGAAATACACAGAGGTTAGCTTTAATAACATCCCCACATTGTGGATCTTAAGGGTATTATTATTAAAGATCGTAAAGGTCAAGTTACGTATTAGACAAGAATGAGGACATAACTTCATGATCCTTCATACCATGAAGGCACCCATAAATTTAACCTAATGGCTATATTGAGTTTAAAGGAATACCTTCCATCTCTGCTTAAAAGAGAAGCTACCCAGGCCAAGGCAAGGTAACACACTTTTGCAATGAACTCATTATACGGTCCACTACTCCCTTGAAGAAATAGCTATATTATTTCCAATTGCTGTTTTCTCTCTTTAGTAATGAAACATAAAGGTACAAATGTAAGTAGTCAGTTGGCTAAATATGCAAACTGCAGCACAATAGAGTTAGCTATGGAGAAAGGCATCTGCCAGCAGATTATGATATTAGGACATTTTTAGAGATACTGTGTGCTAAGAAATTGAAGTATTTGTGTCCCAGCAATCATGACTTACCACTTTTCAAGTTTAACACCCACTCTAGCCTTTGGATGGAGGAGAGGGCTGAAGAACACAGAGGAGGGGGTCCATATTACTTCTTTTTCCCTCTATTGACTGAGAATTTGAGGTTTAATGAAGATTAACACTATGTCTCAGTAAGACATAAGCCATCTTCCTTACTTTTTTAAAAAACTTGTATACTTACCTAAATCTGGCACTGATCATTTGCTTTCTATTCCTAAATCTAAATTAACAGAAATAAGGAGGCATATGGATGGAAAAATGTTAATATGTCTAATGAATAAGACTTTAAATTCTGTGACATTTAATGGCAAAGGCCTAGCATTGAAATTATAATTTTGGGATAGGACACAGATATTATGGATGGTGTAGTAATATAAGCCTGCCCAAGATAGTGTTCAGAGTCCTAGTTTTAACTGTTGATCACAAAAATTTTGACTATTTATTCTATTGAAGAATACATAAAACCTTGACTCACGTTTTACAATCCACAAAAGTTGCTATCGTGTATTTTAGATAGTTCTCTCATATTTCCTATAATTATTATTTTTGTGTTCTTTTTTTGACATCAAGATGTATTGGGAGATTATGAAATATTTTTGGGCATGTCTTCTCCATGTTCTCTTTCTATGAGGAATGATTTTATTTGTATTGCTATGTGGCTACAAAATTTAATTACTAGGATACCACATTCCCTCCATATGTAAGTGTCTATATCTCTACGTGGCTGTTTTGAAATCATTAAGGGAAGAAACTTCTTATTTTTCAGTAGCAAAAATTCACCTCACTCTGATTATTCACATGACAGAGATATAATATTGACATATAAAAATAAAAAGGACTTTTTCAAATACCAGCTTGCTTGAATTATAGAGACCTAAGCACACATTTTGATTTTAATGTCATAAAATTGGTACTTATTTCAGTTCCTAAATATTTTAGCAGTCATGTAAGTGATCTGTTATAAGAACTTCAGCATCATCAATTAAAAAAAATATAATAAATAACCTGACACAATTCAAAATGAAGCCTCTATTATTTTCTTTTCAAAGAATAGAAATTTTTCTCAGTATAACTCCTTCATGCCTCTCAACTGAGTTGGATGCTGGTGAATAACAAGCAATTCTTTAGAGGCAATTGTGCCATTTTTTGAAAGAAGGCATTTTATATTACACGAAAATTATAGTTCTGCAATATCTTCTTGGCATGGATTTGTTCCCAGTTGAAATATTACAATTTGCTTTAGATTTTGGATGGTATAAAGTTAACAGGTTTTAAATATGCTCAATAAGGTAGTGGAACTGTGGTCAAAAGTGGATGAGAGGTTTCATCCACATCCTTGAAGGTCAAAAGCATATATGGGAAAAGCACATATGGGGACAAATGAAGTAAGGGAGAAGTAGCATTAGGTACAGTGAGAGCTTACTCTGGCAGAATCTGGAGAATGGTTGGATGAAAGATGCTATGTTGGGTGGGACTAAGAAGCAGGTTAACAATGGGGTATTGAATGTTTCTAGGTGAAGATTTACCCTTAGCTCAAAGATACCACACAAAGAACTGTCTTCCTTCAGCACTTACTGATACGCAAAAATAAACATAAAACAATCAAACAAAAGTAAATCATTCTTATCTGAAGAAATTGAACTTGGTAACTAGAAAGAAAGTCAGTAATTTGTATACCTCTGAATGAAGCATTGCTGTATTATAGAATTTGAAGGTATCCTTTAGCAGGAGAGTCAGCTCTCTCCATTAGCACTTAGAGTAGTATGTCCCAGTCTACAAGATTCACCCGGGTACTCAAAGCTCTCAGTCTTTCTGTTTTCTCATTCTTGTATATAAATATATAAAAGATAACCAGCTGTGTGAAGAAAA